ACTGACCAGCTACTTATTGACACATTGGGAGCATGAGCTGAATGAAAGTGGATTATACATCCCCATTAGAGCTAGTATGTATGGTCTACAAATTAACGTTGACCACTTCTTTGCTCTGTTCGAGATTTATAATCCGAACACTAACACCTTCCTGACTAAGAATGGAGAATTGGGACTCCCTCTCCATGAGATGATGAAGGTTTCCGGATTACCCATGGGTAACGTGCCTTATCAGGAATTCTTTCCAACAGTTGGTCAACTAAATAGGATAAAAGAACATGCTAAGATAATTTACGACACCTTATGGGAATTAACCTGTCACTATTATACCACGCTGGCAACAATGGAGACCAAGGCCAAGAAGAAGTCTCCACAGCTTAGCTTGAAACAGTTTGCTGACTACCTGTTCAAGATTCTTGAGAATCTTTCTGACAGAGTAGTGTATGGGTTGCCTTCTTTATCCACATCAGAAATTAATGTATTATTGGAGAAAACGAATGCTCAAACGTATACTTCGTACTCGGAAGATGGATTTCCCCTCGGCACCAGATTCAGATCATTTCTATGGCAAGCCGGTACACCAATTGAACCGACAACTCTCTTAGCCGGGTATCTAGCTATTTGGTTAAAGAAGTGTGTGGTACCTCACCAACCTTCTGATGTAATGCCCGTTGAGGTTTTATATCCAGTAGTTCAACTAGCAACAGGTTGTAAGTTGTCTCTTCTTTCAGCTATGATAGCTGATATTCACAGTGGACTTCGTCATCTAGCCACCACATTTACACAAGAGGGAATGCAGCCTTCTACAGATATTTCAATTCCAAAAATGAAACTGTCATACATTTATTTAATGACTTGGTTAGTTCTTCACCGACCGGATCTGATGTGGGCTCCAGAAAATGTTAATCCAAACCTCCCCTTACTACAAATCTTAGAGGAATCCAAGTGCGTAGTGAAATCCTGGCATGAGGTGTCCCAGCAATTCAGAAATCATAAGTGTTGGGAATTCTTCCCGTATTTTCCCTAATTTTCCGGTGCCTACAATGACACTTTATTGGATATAGAAAGGCCGATGCAGGACAAGTCTGTATTAGATGTCGGATGTTTCAGGTGGTTGATGAATATCCATCCTGATTACCTGGTTTTTAGAGTGAAGGATGTCTATAGTATTAAGCTATATTCACCTTGCAGATTCGCTCGCCAATTTGGGTATGATCAGCTTTATATTAGGAATCCAAACAGGTGTCTCCGAGTTTGCGAGGGTTTGATCGACGGAGCAAGAGCTTGGTTTTGGAGCATAGTTGGATGTACAAATGCTTAGTTTGACCTTCCATTGTCAACGCCTCCTCTATTGATGATCTTCCTATATTGTAGATGGCTAATAGTTACTAGCACTCCGACTAGAAAAAAGAAAATATCTGAATTAGAAGCGGAGGCTGCATCTCAGCGTGCTACAGAGTTTGTTCGCAAAACTGTGCTTTCGCGAAAAGGAAAAGAGACTGCTGAATCTTCAATGAAAGGTAAGCAACCAATTCATTCGGACGACAGCGAAGAAGAATTTCAAACCGACAAAACGGAAACCTCTGAGGAAGAAGGTAAAGCTGATATTAGGTCCGAAAATGAGACTAGGAGTGCCGCACTTAACACTGGAGACAAAGAGAGAGAAGCTAGTCTCCCCTCCTCTTTCTTCGAAAGAGGGTATGTAGACCCTTCTATTGCTCGTAGGACTCATTATGCTGATCCGCCTCAACCACCAAACGCTCCAAAAAGAAGAAGGGAAAGGGTCGTTATGACATATCCCAATCGAATGATAGTGAAAGTCCTTAGCGGAGAGAAAGAAGAAGAATATATAATACCCCTTGGATGATACTGTTAGAGCTATAATTTTTCAAATGGAGAGCAAATTTAATAAGTATTTTAGGCATATTCCTCATATTTTTGGTTTGGGGTTCTTATTGATCCATGTTTGAAGGATATTGGCCTTCAAAGTTTGTTAGAATTATTGTATGGTGGACAGATTATAGACTTAGATGATGGATCCATCCTTACTGCTACTTCTTATCATTTAGCTATTAAAAATTATTTTCAAATATTATATGATGAGTATGCAGCTAGACATGGTATAGCTGCACAACAGTCTGCAGCTTCAACGCCTTCGAGCTCAAGCCGAGGTAAAAGTGTAAGTTTTGATAGGCATGCAATGGTAGCTGAGCTAACTGGTGGGTTTGGACTTGGATCATCGTTGGAGGTTTCTGAAATAGATGAATATTTATCAGCTCCTTTAGTTAAATATCAAGGAAATGCTTTAGATATTTTGCAATGGTGGAGAGTATATGAATCAGTTTCATATCATATACTTTCCACCATGGTTCGTGACTTACTAACAGTACAGGTTTCGACGGTAGCTTCGGAATCTGCCTTCATTACAGCAGGACGTTTGATTAACGACCATTGGACATGCTTAGATACGTATATTGTACAAGCGGTAATGTGCTTACAAGATTGGTGGAGGTACGAGAAGCAAACGCAAGGCATCGATCGGATGGCTGGAATTGAAGATAAATTTGAAGAACTGGGACTAGCAGATAGATATAAAGATTAAACAATATTCATCAAATTATAATTTTTATTTCTTAGCTTTAAATATGTAATGAATTATTTTTAGAAACAGTTGCAAATGATAGCATTGATAATGATATAGGTGAGTAGGTGCCAACCTAGTTGGGATGTACTCATCTATTGTGATGCGACGAATTCCGAAATAAATTTATACTTGTAAAAAATTTACTGATTATTAATAAAAAAATATTTTTATCATCTTTTATTTTTTATAATTTTTTGTATTTATAATTTATGTCATTTCAAGTTATTATAATATGATTGTTTTTATTTTTATTTTCTGTAATTTTTTTATTTTTTATATATATTTTAAATTTTAAAGAGATTTAATTTTAGCGGTCTATGAACATCTTGAGCTATTTTAAGTCTAAAAACAATTTACTTTTAAAAGAAAAAAATGGATTGATTTACAATAAGCCAATATGTTTTAATAAGTAACTTCATACGCATTGCCATGAAATTTCTTTTACGTAGTTTCCTCCATTCTCGTCCTCCTTCCATTACAAAATAATTAAATTTACTAAATAAATATAATGGATTTCTCTAAAAGAATACAATGGATTTGTAAGTTAATTGCGTATAACTTAATAATTCATATAATAATTAAGTGGAGAAGTTAAGAAAAATATTGGAAAGAATGAATCCTTTAATAGTTAGATAGGGCGTTAAAACTGAAATAAATCAAGAACAAATGAGCAGTTATAATAATTTGGAGGATAAAATTAAAAAATGCTGGTAGTTTGCGGATTTATATATAAAACCCATTTTTTAGGGAAAGCTAGATACCTAATATACTGAGGACTCTTTTTGTCAAGCCACTACACTGTCATTAGAGGCGGTTCGGTTCAAACCGAAAAAACCGACCGACCCGACCCGAACCGACCCGAAAAAAGCGGTTTTATGAGTAAGACGGTTCGGGTCGGGTTGATAATTTTTCAAACCGACCCGATCCGAACCAACCGAATATATTCCCTTGCCTCAAACCCTACCCGTTTACCCAAAGACAAAGCAAGCCCGTTACTAAAAAATTATAACGTCAGAGTCTAGTATTTAATCCAAAAGGACAAGTTACTTCACTTAAAAACAGTATACATACATGAGGAAGAATAATAAATTGAAGTGAAGTTAAAAAATAAATACATGCTGGCATAGGGTAATAAGAATATATAAAAGATAAATTGAAGTGAAGTTATACTTGATGAAGTTAGAACCAAACAAACCGAACAAACCGAACCAAACCGCACCGAACCGATTTGCAATGGTTCGGTTCGGTTTTGAATTATAGGTGGTTCGGTTCGGTTGTTCAAATTTTGGTAAAAACCGATCCGAACCGAACCGTGCTCACCCCTAATTAGAGGAGCTGAATGCTAAAAAGTAGACAACATGGATTGAGATAATTTTTTGGTCCTTTCTAATTTAAAGACCCTTTAGGTGCCATTTGGCAACGGATTAAGTGAGGGGTTAAGAAACTTAATCTTTTTTTAACTAATCAAACACAAAGGTAGGGGTGTGCAACAGTCGGTTCGGTTCGGTTTTTACCAAAATTTGAACAACCGAACTGAACCGTCTATAATTCAAAACCGAACCGAACTGTTACAAGTCGGTTCGGTTCGGTTTGTTCGGTTCTAACTTCATCAAACTTCTTATCAAACAACAAACTGTGTTAAAGAAAAAAAAAGATATCAACAAAGTAGGTGATTATGAAGCATTAAACACTGATATAATGATATTATTTTCAACCCATAATGATTCATAAAATGAGTTTAGGGTTTGAGTCTTTGACTCTTTGGGGACGAGTCGGGTAGGGTTTAAGATCAGAATGGGTAATATTGCACTATATTCGGTTGGTTCGGGTTGGTTCGAGTTAAAAAGTTTTCAAACCGACTCGAACCGTCCTACTCATAAACCGATTTTTTCGGGTCGGCTCGGTCGGTTTTTTCGGTTTGGACCGAACCATGCTCAGCCCTACACAAAGGATCTATATAAGGGTTAAAGTGAGTGAGCCCTTTATAATTTGGCAAACATAAAAAATACACAAACTTTAAGCTAATCACTCTAGAGAGATTAAAATAAGTTGACCCCTCAAAATGAGGGGTTTACTAATACTCCTATTTAGAAGAATTAAGAGTTAACACTTCAATTTATAAAGAAAATAGTCAAAACCCCCCTTATTCCTAAACACTAAAACTAATCACCATAACTAAAATAAAACTTATTTAACGGGTTGATAATTTAGTCCTTCGGGCTATCGAATGGGCTAACTATATTAATCTTTCTCTTTAATCTCTCTTCCTTCATCTTTTCCGTACGCATTTTGAGCCCGCCTGGGCTTTTTTGCAAAAAACCAAAGCCAACAGGCAGCAGCGATTAATACAAGTGCTCCTGACCCTATCTTTCTCTCTCTCTCTCTCTCTCTCTCTCTCTCCCAAAAAAACCCCAATCCCTCCTCCATCAAGCCCCAAAATCGGAGCTCCCCCAAATCCGATTTCTCCGACGACTTCACCAACTCCGCCTCCCTCCCAAATCCGCCACCTCCGACGGCGTCACCAACTCCTCCATACTTCGCCGACTTCGCCGACTTCCCCTTCGATCTCCGTCGATCTCCCTCGATCTCCCTCGGGCTCTCTAAGTGATCTCCCCCAACTTCGCCAACTACCCCCTCCTCCGTCAACTTCCCCTCTACTCCGCCGACTTCGATCTAACGGACTCCGTCAAGGGACCATGAACGGTAACGGAAAGGGGTACGCCTCGTTAGAAATCGATAATGGAGAGAATCTCGATAATTTGAGCTCGATTTCTGCTGTAATGGTGCTCAAAACTCTATTCTTTCTACTTGTCTGGTACCTTTTCAGTACTCTTATGACGTTGTCTATTTCTTTTCAATTTATGCAAGTATATATATGACTCCATATTCTCTTTTACTGTTGCTCCAAATCTAACTACGACTTCACTTTGCTCCAGATATTGAGCAACAGGGTCATTGTGGAGGGATCAGAGAAGCACAGCTCTCTCAATGAGGGATCCATTCTCTGGATTACTGAAACCAGGTTGCCACTAGGAAGAATTGATGAAATATTTGGACCTGTGAAGAATCCCTTCTATGTTGTCGAAACCAGGTTGCCACTAGGAAGAATTGATGAAATATTTGGACCTGTGAAGAATCCCTTCTATGTTGTCTGGTACAACTCTGATGAAGAAGTTCCTCAAGGAATTAGCATTGGTGTTGCCATCTCTTTTGTTGTGGATTTTGCCAACCATATTCTAAATGAAAAATACCTCTATGAGAATGGGTATGATGCATCAGGTATCGATGATGAGGAGGCTGCTGACGAAGTGGAATTCTCTGATGATGAAAAGGAAGCTGAGTACAAGAGATCTCTCCGTCAAAGTAAGCGAGATGCAAACTATGGGAAACAGGGGACTGGGTTTGGCAAGAAAGCTAATTATAAGGGTTTAGTTGTAAAGAGAGGTCGACAATGTGTAATATTTATGCTTCTTATATTTAGGACTTTAGTTGTGTAAATTTGAAGCAGTTGTGTCCCGAATTTGAAGCAATCTTTGTGTAAATCTTGGTTGGCACTCTATTATAAATGAAAACTTGTCTTCCATTCTGAGTTGCGATTTGTAGAGCATGTTTATATTGAGAATATTCCATTAGTGCCTTTGAATCTATGGTTGCAATTGATGTTTCTCCACTACATTTGTTGATGCTTGTGTCTTGAGGCGTAGTACGTTGCGATGTGAATATTCTTCTTCAAAAGGGAAAAAGTTGTCAGTAACTTCCAATGAATTTGATACCATCTCAGCAGTTTGGAGATCAAACTTACAATCTCCAAAACTTACAGCTGGAGCGCTCCTCGGTAACTTTCAGTGGTTTGGTGGATTGTCATCTACGTCGGCTCTCGTTGGGATCACGAGACAAGCTGGATTTAGTCATGTGCCCTTTGGATTTAGTCTCGCTGTAAGTTTGGTGATGGAGCACAAGCCCTCTGCTTGGGTTGTTGGCTTTGATATGAACCTGTTTGCTGCTGCGTACGCTGTCAGTATTCACTCTTCACACGTATCATGGAATGTCTTTTTTTTGTTTCAGGGGATTGTGACATCAAGCCTTGCATATTATGTACAAGGGATAGTGATACAAGAGATTTTTTTGTTTCAGGGGATTGTGACATCAAGCCTTGCATATTATGTACAAGGGATAGTGATACAAGAGAGGGCCAGTTTTTGCCTCGGCTTTTAGTCCACTGATGATGATCATAGTCGCAATCATGGGTTCCTTACATTCTACATAACCACAAGGCAATCTGCTGATTTAGCTGAAAATAATCAAACAAATAACGCACAAATGAAGAGGAATGCTCATAAGCAAACACAATAGGTGCATACATAACAAGAAAATTCACTGTCTATGTTTCAACAAATAATGGATATACACAACATATCAACAACAAATTGAAATAGATTGCAACTCTCAAACTCACATATAATGAAATCTGTTGCAAAACAACACAGTTACAACAATGTTTCGAGTTCATGCATCAATGTTTCGGTTACAACATGAAGAGCTAGTAATACACATCGTAGCACAAAGTTGCGAACTGCTTAAGAGCAGATAGCAGCTCGATTTGAAGCTGTCAGAGAGGATGAGTACACATGGCAGCTTGGTCGTTTGAAGCATAAAGATCTCCTGTTAGCAGCCATGCCATAGGCCTATATAAAACATGAGCAGCATTATAGATTAAGCAGCATTATAGACAATACATTAATGAATGATATGCAGATATTTTTTAAGTTCTTTAAACTGATGACTCATTACCCTCTTAAGTAGTAACCTCTTGTGAGCAGCCGTCTTGAAGAATAAATATTGAACCAAAAGAGACTCTTAAAACTAGAAAAGGTTGTTCATGTCATTTGGCGGGTCTTGTTCTGAAGATGAACATTCTTCGTGGTTAAAGCTTTATGCGTAGAAGTAACTGAAAAAGATTTGTAGTCCACAAAAACTAATATAAAAAATGAAGACACATTAAACTTGATACCTTTCAAAAACAGATCCTTGAATATTTGCAATATCTGTGAACTGAAGCATAGACGCTTGATTTTTTGCACTAAACCTCTCACATATATCATGATCCTGCAATTGAAAAATAATCATAAGAAGCAAAAAAGGTGAAGAAAAGATACTTGTCAATTGCTCATTAGACAATCATAATATTTGAAAACGTCAATTACAACATACAATAATCTCTCCACTTTCTTGGCAATCAAGCAAGGATGAAACATAGAGATCATGAAATAAGTACTTGTTCTTCACAACTATTTTAAAGAACAAGGGAAGAGATATTTGCTACAAAATTCTTCCATACTAGATGGTGACAGACACAGGAAAAAGTTACACAGGAGGGAAGAGATATTTGCTACAAAATTCTTCCATACTAGATGGTGACAGACACAGGAAAAAGTTACACAGGAGAAATATCGGTGCTGCAGATATATTAGGTCCCCAATTCCTATAAGTTATTTCAAATTAATCCCTAAACTCACCTAAATGCGAAAGCAAACACCAGGAGAAATATCGGTGCTGCAGATTTACACTGCAAAACAGCATGAGACCAAAGATTATGAAGATGCACAACATATATCATTCATATATAACCCAAAAGAACGAACCATTGTCGCAAATGTAACTGATATGAAAACAAGGGACTCATTGCTCAGGTTTACATCCAAGGCAGTAGCCAATCCCGTAGGCACAACTGTACAGAACAAAACCCCACAATAAGTCCTTATTTTTATACTTTTCCAATTCAAAGATCAAATATTTCTAAAAATAGACACCTCTAAAGAAGTAATCCCTCCATGTCATGGTCGGGCCGCTTCTATCTTTAAACAGAGTCTGGAAAAAAATGGTGTTGGATATCACAGCTTGCATCCCAAAATGAACTGTGTTCATCATCAAAGGAACCGAAAATTTTCACAGATGGTCCCCTAACAATGTCTTATTATACCTAAAACCCAAAAGCAACTATAGCTTTAGGAAAAGGGACCAAAACATTCCAAAATTGGTAAAGAATGGGGATAGATTACCACAAGCTTACAACGTCAACAGAGTACTGAAAAGGTACCAGGCAAGTAGAAAGAATAGAGTTTTGAGCACCATTACAGCAGAAATCGAACTCAAATTATCGAGATTCTCTCCATTATCGATTTCTAACGAGGCGTACCCCTTTCCGTTAACATTCATGGTCCCTTGACAGAGTCCGTTAGATCGAAGTCGGCGGAGTAGGGGGAAGTCGACGGAGGAGGGGGTAGTTGGCGAAGTTGGGGGAGATCACTTAGAGAGCTCGAGGGAGATCGAGGGAGCTCGACGGAGATCGAAGAGGAAGTCGGCGAAGTATGGAGGAGTTGGTGACGCCGTCGGAGATGGCGGATTTGGGAGGGAGGCGGAGTTGGTGAAGTCGTCGGAGAAATCAGATTTGGGGGAGCTCTGATTTTGGGGCTTGATGGAGGAGGGATTGGGGTTTTTTTGGGAGAGAGAGAGAGAGAGAGAGAGAGAAAGATAGGGTCCCATTCTCATCCACTCATTCAATTGGGAGAGAGAGAGAGAGAGAGAGAGAAAGATGGGAGCACCTGTTTTCACCTGATTTTGGGGCTTGGTGAGGTGTCTCATTCTCATCCACTCATTCAATTGGGGGACCACATTCAACCCATGTGAATGTGGTCCCCCCATTTGAATGAGTGGAGGATAATATGTCACCTCACTACCAAGCACAAATTTTGTGCTTGGTAACCGGGAAGACATACTCAATGATTCGCTCTCTCTCTCTCTCTCTCTATACGTAACTATATATCAGTATAGTATATACGTATATAGTATAGGTGATATAGTATATAGTAGTGATATCATATAGTATGATATAATATATATATAATATACTCATATGAAGTATCAGTTCATATATAAGCTTCAGTTGAATGTCGCACCAAACTGTCTAGCCACGTCATATTCATTAGATGAAAAAACCTTTTCAATACCGAATCAAGGATCCTCAAGTATATGATCTACAAACGTTTGAGTGGCCTTTTTGTTATTCACTTAGTTGATACAAGTTATTGCTCTCGTCCTCTCGTCTCGTCTCGTCTCTCTCGTGCTCTTCTGCTATAATCATCATAATCATATCATAGTATCATAGAGCTAAGTATCATACTATAGTCATCATATCATACTAGTATATATACTAGTATATATTCAAGCCAAAATAGGAAGAGCAACAATACTTAGAAAAACAATCGACTGGAAGTCAGGGCTATAAAGATCAGCAAGGAATGAGGTAAATTATGTAATGTAGCAAAATTCATGGATCTAGCCACGCAATACAATTGA